ATAAGACATGAACAGAACAGATATTTGGACATGAACAGAACAGACAGAGAAGAGAACAGGGACAGACAGACAATAGGGTATACACAGAACAGACAACAGGACATGCACAGAACAGACAATAGGACAAGAACAGACAATAGGACAAGAACAGAGCAGGAACCGAACAGACAATAGGGTATACACAGAACAGACAACAGGACATGCACAGAACAGACAATAGGACAAGAACAGACAATAGGACAAGAACAGAGCAGGAACCGAACAGACAATAGGGTATACACAGAACAGACAACAGGCCATGCACAGAACAGACAATAAGACATGAACACAACAGGAACAGAACAGACAATAGGACATGAACAGAACAGACAATAGAACATGAACAGAACAAGAACAGAACACCTGAATATGTGTAGACAGAAATACAGTACCGCAGTAAACACTGAATCAGAAACTAACAAAGGGACACCAGCGAGAGTAACAAAAACGATTTTACATGTATGCATTTTTATCGCTACTCTCCGGTCAAGCTTTGAAGTACACGAAACGAATATATATGTAATAGCAAGGGAGCGAAATTGACACATATATTCTTAAAAACCCCGTTTAATATGACATATCCTTGTATCTGAATATCAAAGAATGCTTTATGTGTGTCATATATTTTAATAAAAGATTGTTATATACATTTAATAGATAAGATTTGCCCAAGGTGGACCTAAAACAGAAGACATTGGTGACTTTATATTCGCAACGCAATATTATCCAAATGTGTGTACACATATTTAGAATAGAAAATATTAATAGAATAATTTTCAACATTGAGCTGATGGCATATAGTTGTATGTTCATGAATGAAAGAGTGAGTAAGCATGGTTTTACGCCGCTTTTAGCAATATTCCAGCTATATTACGCGGGGGACACCAGAAATGAGCTTCACACATTGTACCCATGTGGGGAATCGAACCCGGGTCTTCGGCGTGACGATCGAACGCTTTAACCACTAGGCTACCCCACCGCCCCCATGAATGAAAGAGTGATCCTTTGATTAATTCTGGCACGCATGGCGTTTGTGGTCAGTAAATAATCCTTACATTACATGGACATGTCCACAATCTCGGGAAAACTTTGAAGTTTGCTCGCCAAAAAGGCTTTGACGAGTTCACTTCCTACTGACCGAGACACCAATCAAACAAGATGGCGATTATTTGTCGAACGCAGGTGCTTATCTACAGCTCCTCACCTCGATAACCGAATCCTACTGACAGCAAAGTATTCCAGGCTCGAGACTATCTTTGATGGGAAGACGTTTAAATGCCGTGCTTGTGAATACGAAACTCCTTAAGGTTTCTTTTAATCTTCTGAGCGGGCCATGATGTCTCTTGATCACACAATGACCTGTGGTGAAGTGAACATATGTTTTTCTCTAAATGTCACAGGTTGGGTCAGTTCGAACGTAACCACTGCATCAATCCACGAAATACCTTCGCGATGCACCGAGACCCTCAATAATAGTTTTTGTATGAAATGTGGGATGACTTTTACACGGTTTCGAAATGTTAAAACTTACAGAAATGTCGAGTAAGGTGGACATGGGCTTCTGTTGAACGATCACTTAAACAATCAAGCTATCCGAATGCCCTCAGAGAATGTCCATATCTCGAGGGTCAGAGATGAGACGTTTTCTTAATCTTTCGAAAATTCGGATCATTTTTAAAATGAACGCTTGTTCTTCTTTTGCGACGGGGTACATTGCCATGTTAGTGGCAAACACTTGCTGTTTCCTTTTGTTGTTTGGGTGGGGAGGGGGTGAGGACGGGGCACGAGAAGGATGAGATGGAGTGTGTGTGTGCTTTCATGCTTAAAATAAAACATTTCATTGACACCATTACCCTGCATGTTTCAGCTGAGAATGTAGTGGTGGCAATAGCCCATGGTCTGTATTCTCTGCGAGTTTCGGACGGTGTCAAGGACTGGGAACTGGATCTCCCCAACAGGTAACACCCTTGGATAGTTGACACCATTGGGAAAAATCTAGACTTCCATGATCCTCTGTTAAAGCTGAGTTATTGCATAGATCGATATCAGTCTGGACCCACTTCCATGACCCTTTGTTATAGCTGAGATCTTGCATATATCGGGTCAGTACACCCACATTCATGGCACCCTGCTATAGCTGAAATCTTGCATAGATCGATATCAGTCTGGACCCACTTTCATGACACCCTGCTATAGCTGAGATCTTGCATATATCGATATCAGTCTACACCCACTTTCATGGCACCCTGGTATAGCTGAGATCTTGCATAGATCGATATCAGTCTACACCCACTTTCATGACACGCTGCTGTAGCTGAGATCTTGCATAGATCGATATCAGTCTACACCCACTTTCATGACACCCTGGTATAGCTGAGATCTTGCATAGATCGATATCAGTCTACACCCACTTTCATGACACCCTGGTATAGCTGAGATCTTGCATAGATCGATATCAGTCTACACCCACTTTCAAGACACCCTGGTATAGCTGAGATCTTGCATATATCGATATCAGTCTACACCCACTTTCATGACCCCTGTAAAAAGTGAGATATTGCATATATCGATATCAGTCTACACCCACGTTCATGACCCCCTGTAAAATGTGAGATACTGCATATATCGATATCAGTCTACACCCACTTTCACGACCCCCTGTAAAATGTGAGATATTGCATATATCGATATCAGTCTACACCCACTTTCATGACCCCCTGTAAAAAGTGAGATATTGCATATATCGATATCAGTCTACACCCACTTTCACGCCCCCCTGTAAAATGTGAGATATTGCAAATATTTACGTCAGTCTACACCCACTTCCATAACACCCTGTAAAAAGTGAGATATTGCATATATCGATATCCGTCTACACCCACTTCCATAACACCCTGTAAAAAGTGAGATATTGCAAATATCTACGTCAGTCTACACCCACTTCCATAACACCCTGTAAAAAGTGAGATATTGCAAATATCTACGTCAGTCTAGACTAGTATAGCTGAGATATATCGATGTCAGCCTAGATTCACTTTCATAAAGCCGTGTAAGGCGGAGGGTATTCCAAATGCGTGAGATAAATCAGATCGGACTTTCAATGCATTTAGCGTCGAACTTCTAAATAAGGATTCAACAATGTTCGTACAGGAAGTCTCGTGTTGCATTTGTAAAATATATCATTATTTAATCATAACCAGTGTATGGTTTCTATAGACTGGGTGATGAATAAAATTCATTGAAGTATGCAATACTGAACGCAAATCCGCCTCTCTCTCTCTCTCTCTCTCTCTCTCTCTCTCTCTCTCTCTCTCTCTCTCTCTCTCTGGTCCAGACTCGATTATTTACAGACCGCCGCCATATAGCTGGAATATTGCTGAGTGCGGCGTAAAACTAAACTCACTCACTCATATTCTGTGTCTTCATGTTAAACTAATTACAGTGCGTGCGTGCGCGAATTAGTTGTGTGTGTGTTCATTGTTTAGATACGCTGTTGAGTAACGATTCATTCCGTCAACTTGCCTGCCGAACTGATATATATATACTGCCTCTCGGTTGAGAACCTGTTGCTACTGACCAATTAAAACCGGAATCCCCAGAGTGAGCAAGGTCCCAGGTATTAATTATACTCACCAGAAATTACTGCTAAACGTTTTTACTGTTGATCAGATTTGATTTTTATGTACACGCGTTGCTATGGGTGACAATAGGCGTGTGGTTTTAAATAGTTGGTGACTTCATTTCAGACGTTAGTTGTGACAGCTAACGGTTTTAATGATTTCAGTGGGTTTTACGACGTACATAAAATAATCATTGTGGCAGTAATGTCTTGAGGCTACGGATCTGGACCCGTTCGGAACTGTATATCATTATTGACATCTGTGGGTTTTGTCAGAGTTTATGGGAGATTGGGAGTTTGCTCAAAACGGGAAAGTAGAAGGTTGCCAATGTCACCGACTCTCCATAAGTGTGCGTACTTTCATTGTGCTAGTTTATTTGAGGCCAAAGCCAACTAGATATCATGTTATATCATGAAGGCCCACAATAAAGTTACTGCCGTTCCTTAGAGCTCTATAAGGTGTCGTCAAGGGCGACTAACGTATATCGCGTCAGTGTCTATCACTTGTCGACTGGGGCGGTGGGGTAGTCTAGTGGTCAAAGCGTTCACTCGTCATGTTGGCGGCCTGGGTTCGATTCCCAACATGGGTACAATGAGTGACGCCCATTTCTGGTGTCCCCCGCCGTGATATTGCTGGAATATTGCTAAAAGCGGTGTAAAACCCAACTCACTCACTCACTTGGCGACTGCATGCCACCGAGCAATTCGATGCTCATGATTTCAATCATTGGTTGGCTTAGACAATATTAGCAGACAGCCGCTATAAAGCTGGCAACAAATGAAAAACGCTAAGGGCAGGAAAATTGGCGATCGACAAATTACAGAGAGTCGCGAGTAAGCTATAATATTTGGAGTATTGCTGTCTGCGGCGGTAGGGAAAATTCACTCAATTGCTTTAACAGTCCTTTTTAAATTTTGTTTTTGGTAACTATATTGTATTTATATCCGTTCCGCTATTTAGTTTCATCGATATAACGGGCATCGCTCCAAACAAACCATCTTGCTGTAAAAGAACATCATAGTTCACTCCCGGTAACATAGTTATTCGAGTCATTTAAATCCAAACAGACGGCAGTGCACGCTTTCGTTATTTCTAATATTGAAGGATACAGCATGTCAACGGATTTAGATGCAATAGCGTCTGTTCATCATAAGAAGTTATAAAATAAATACTTTCCTTTAAACAGAATGCAGCAATTTTCAACATATGAATCCGCAGAGTCAACTCCAGGCATACATTGCAGTTAGTTCGTGAGAAGATAAACATTGTCATTTAACGAACATTTCCTGTCATTGTAAACAATCACCACGTGGGAATGAGAGACGCCATATGTCAACTTACCTCATAAGACACGTGGAGTTTGGCCCCCTTCGCTGCCATCTGAAAAAAACACTCCTCTCTACCAGCAGCTATTTCAAATTTAAACTCGTGTTGAACACCTGGCAAGCCATCGAAGTCAAATTCATCGTCCACTTTTTCTCCGAGTACAGTTTCAGTAGAAACCAGAAACAGTCTGTTCGTGATGACAAGCGTGGATAGAAAGTGAACACAGTAACGTGCCGCCATTTTCACTCACCCAGTGTATATGCCTGTCCTCTGTTTTCACGTTCCATGTCAACACAGCGGTCGATAAAATTGGGCGCTTCCAAGTGTGTTCCAGGGGGACAGGTTGTTGTAGATTGTCTCAGATAACGGTTGTTTCAGCTGTTGATTGTTCAGTTAGTCACGTCACCTTGAGCTATGGATCTTTTATGATGTAATGTATAATTTATCTTGTCGGTTCATCAGCAATGGGTTTCAGATCAATGTTTTCTATGACATGTTTACCTTTTTGATATTTCTTGTGTATTCATAACGGGAAAGCGGAATATGTGGATATATGGTTCGGAAAGGAAGGTGCATTTGTGTTAAATGTCTTTTACGGCATAGCTTAATTGTATTAACTACTCGAAAGCAGAGCACGAGAACAAATAGTGAGTGAGTATAGTTTTACGCCGCACTCAGCAATATTCCAGCTGTATGGCGGCGGTCTGTAAATAATCGAGTCTGGACCAGACAATCAACAGCATGAGCATCGATGTGCGCAATTAGGGAACCGATGACATGTATCAACCCAGTCAGCGAGCCTGACCACCCGATCCCGTTACTCGCCTCTTACGACAAGCATGGGTTACTGAAGATCGAGAAACAAATAGAGTTAGCAGGAAAGGGCAGAGCAGAGCAGAATAGAGAGGAGCAGAAAACAGTGAAGTAGAACAGAAAAGAGCAGAACAGAAAAGAGCAGAACAGAGGGTAGAGCGAGCAGAGAGGGTGAAATAGAACAGAATAGAACAGAACAGAACAGAAAAGAGCAGAACAGAGGGCAGAGCGAGCAGAGAGAGTGAAATAGAACAGAATAGAGCAGAACAGAACAGAGAAGAACAGAACAGAGGGTAGAGCGAGCAGAGAGAGTGAAATAGAACAGAATAGAGCAGAAAAGAACAGAGAAGAACAGAACAGAGGGCAGAGCGAGCAGAGAGAGTGAAATAGAACAGAATAGAACAGAACAGAACAGAGAAGAACAGAACAGAACAGAGAAGAACAGAACAGAGGGCAGAGCGAGCAGAGAGAGTGAAATAGAACAGAATAGAGCAGAACAGAACAGAGAAGAACAGAACAGAGGGTAGAGCGAGCAGAGAGAGTGAAATAGAACAGAAAAGAGCAGAACAGAGAAGAACAGAACAGAGGGCAGATCGAGCAGAGAGAGTGAAATAGAACAGAGCAGAACAGAACAGAGAAGAACAGAACAGAGGGTAGAGCGAGCAGAGAGAGTGAAATAGAACAGAAAAGAGCAGAACAGAGAGTAGCAGAGCAGAGAAGAACAGAAAAGAGGAGCAGAGCATAGCAGAGAGGAGCAGAACACAGTGCAGCAGACAAGAATAGTGGAGCGGAAAAGAAAAGAGTAGAACAAGGAAGATCATATCAAACAAACGCTCATGAGAGCAGAGAAAAGGTGGTGCGCCAAGTGGATATTGCAGTATTTTGAAATGTGTTTGTTAAAATTTGAACTGTTTATAATATTTTGGTTGACATGTTGTGTTCAAAGTTATTGTGAGAAGCTGTGCGGTGATATGGATTGTTCATGTTATGTGAGGTGTCTGAATTACAGTGCAGTGCTGTGTGATATTTGGGTGAATTTATACCGCGATGTGCTCTGTTCAGTGTCATGGTGCAGTGGCCGGAGTTGTTTAAAGGTAGTGTACAGTGATGTGCAGAGTTTGGAAGAAGTGATGTGATGTACAAGGGTTGTGTGGTGTTTAGAAGTATATATGGTGACGTGCGGGGTGTAGAAAGATCGTGCAGTGTTATGCATGGGCGGTGTTCAGAAATACTATTTCATATTGAGGAGTGTTTGATGTGCTGTATGGCGTTGAGTGCAGTGTGGACGGCAGAACTTCTGCATTCAGAAGCTGTGTACTATGTGTTATCATATACTTTTGTTCCCTTTCCCACGCAATTGCCATGGTAACCAAACTACGCCTGGGTCGCATGAGACGCCAAATGTAAGCCATACGGCACATACAAGGACTTTCCCAGCTAACAAACCCCACAGCCACTGACTACCACAGTAATCAAACACCACAATACTGATCATGATTACCACAGCTATTAAACACCACAGCCTCTGACTACCACAGCTATTAAACCCCACGGCCTACTGACCACTGACTACAGCTATTAAACACAGCCACTAAACCCACAGCTATTAAACCCCACTGCCACTACCACAGCTATTAAACCCCACAGCCACTGACTACCACAGCTATTAAACTCCACAGCCACTGACTACCACAGCTATTAAACCCCACAGCCACTGACTACCACAGCTATTAAACCCACAGCCACTGACTACCACAGCTATTAAACCCCACAGCCACTGACTACCACACAGCCACTGACTACCAAACCCCACAGCCACTGACTACCACAGCTATTAAACCCCACAGCCACTGACTACAGCACAAAACCCCACAGGACTACCACAGCTATTAAACCCCACAGCCACTGACTACTACAGCTATTAAACCCCACAGCTGACTTAACAGCTATTAAACCCCACAGCCACTACCACAGCTACCACAGCTGATTAAACAGCTATTAAACACCACAGCCACTGACTACCACAGCTATTAAACCCCACAGCCACTGACTGACCACAGCTATTAAACAGCCTCTGACAGCTATTAAACACTGACTACACAGCCAAACTGACCACTGACCACAGCTATTAAACACCACAGCCACTGACTACCACAGCTATTAAACTCCACAGCCACTGACTACCACAGCTATTAAACTCCACAGCCACTGACTACCACAGCTATTAAACTCCACAGCCACTGACTACCACAGCTATTAAACCCCACAGCCACTGACTACCACAGCTATTAAACCCCACAGCCACTGACTACCACAGCTATTAAACCCCACAGCCACTGACTACCACAGTAATCAAACACCACAATACTGATCATGATTACCACAGCTATTAAACACCACAGCCACTGACTACCACAGCTATTAAACTCCACAGCCACTGACTACCACAGCTATTAAACACCACAGCCACTGACTACCACAGCTATTGAACCCCGCAGCCTCTGACTATCACAGCTATTAAACTCCACAGCCACTGACTACCACAGCTATTAAACTCCACAGCCACTGACTACCACAGCTATTAAACTCCACAGCCACTGACTACCACAGCTATTAAACACCACAGCCACTGACTACCACTATTAAACACAGCTATTAAACAGCTATTAAACCCACAGCCACTGACTACCACAGCTATTACAACTACCTATCACAGCTATTAAACTGCCACTGACTATCCACAGCTATTAAACACCACAACTACTGACTATCCACAGCTATTAAACACCACACAACTATTAAACTCACTGACTATCACAACTATTAAACTCCACAGCTACTGACTATCACAGCTATTAAACTCCACAGCCACTGACTACTCACAACTATTAAACACCACAGCTACTGACTATCACAACTATTAAACACCACAACTACTGACTATCACAACTATTAAACTCCACAGCCACTGACTATCACAACTATTAAACACCACAGCCACTGACTACCACAGCTATTAAACACCACAACTACTGACTATCACAACTATTAAACTCCACAGCCACTGACTATCACAACTATTAAACCAACTACACCACAACTACTGACTATCCACAACTATTAAACACCACAGCCACTGACTATCACAACTATTAAACACCACAACTACTGACTATTAAAACACCACAGCCACTGACTATCACAGCTATTAAACCCACAGCTACTGACTATCCAACTATTAAACACCACAACTACTGACTATCACAAACACTTTAAACTCCACAGCCACTGACTATCACAACTATTAAACCCCACAGCCACTGACTATCACAACTATTAAACACCACAACTACTGACTATCACAACTATTAAACACCACAACTACTGACTATCACAACTATTAACCCCCACAGCCACTGACTATCACAACTATTAAACACCACAACTACTGACTATCACAACTATTAAACACCACAACTACTGACTATCACAACTATTAACCCCCACAGCCACTGACTATTAAGCGCTACTAAAATAATACATCAGTTAAATTACCACAGTTACTGAATACTGGAACTACTAAACACGACAGCTTCGGAATACCACCTAAATATAACAAAATTAGGAATAATAGTTCTTCCGTGTGACAGGTATGCGTTAACAGACATGACCTCAGCATGGTAGCATGTCTCACAATAGTTTATGCTCGCATAACTCCATCGAGCCCAATACACATACAGTGTGATAGATATGACAAAGCGTGTATGTCCGGGGGCACTTCGTCTGAACACTGTAGAATGCACTCGTTGCCATTTGTCAGTCCGAGACAAGCCGAATGTAGTTGACGGAAGATAGGAGCGGCTACAACATGGTTTTGTTTGTTTGTTGTTGTTTAAATCTGCACTCAGCAATATCCCGGCTATATATATATATTGCGACGGTCAGTAAATAATCGAGTCTGGACCAGACAATGCAGTGATCAACAGTATGAGCATCGATCTACGCAAGCGAGCCTGACCACACGATCCTATTAGTCGCCCCTTACAACAAGGACAATATAAAGCCCCCCCCCAAAAAAAAATGAAAAATAAAAATAAATAAATAAATAATAATAATAAAAATAAATTAAAAAAATATTAAAAATAATAAAAACAAATAAATAAAAATAAAGAAAAAAAGTCATAGGTGCAAAGACTAGTACCTACTACCTAGTAGTTACTAGAAGAAACCAAATTCCCCTAAACTACCAGACTGGGTCTAAAAAAACAAAATATCAAAACACCAAACAAAAAAGGCACCCTTAAATTAAGAATAAACCCTTTAAAACATCTCTATCCAGCCACACATTACAGTGTAAACTCATAGTCACTATCGATGACAACACATGCTTCACCTAAATTTTGTATTATATGTTGTATGGGAGCGGTGTTGATATAAGCTGTAAATCTTGTTCACCAATCCCAATTCATTTTTATGAATAAAAATATGTTTAAACCACACATTACAGTGTAAACTCGATTATCCTGACTAACTCACAATGTCAAGGCCACACACCGCACGTTTCACAACCAAAACATAAACACCGACACTGCCTCCCCAGCCCTACATTTTAAATTTCAACCCCTTTTCATCTATTTAGTAGACTCCTTATTAGCTTATCAGCAAGAATTTAACTGTTCTGCACAATAAGTCACAATATACTTTACACTACGTACTTAGTTGAACTTATACGCAATCAACTTCCCAACCCTCTTACGTCCAACTTCTCAACTCCCCACCTGAACTAAATTATTTTCAATATACAGGTGTTTTATGATACACAAGTATGTACACAAGCCATTCTTGTAGAAGTATGGGAGACTATGGCACATACATTTAGAACAATACCTTTTTCACATAATAGTAGAAATATATATGTGTGAAATATGCACACATCAAAAGACCAGATGGAAGGCACAGGGTGTATAAAATTCCATCACTGATACAATAAAGCCCGACGGGGAGTTGGTTTGGGTGGTCTGTTGTTTAACACCGCACTAGGCAATATTCCAGCTATATGGCGGCGGTCTGTAAATAATCGAGTCTGGACCAGACAATACAGTGATCAACATTATGAGCATCGATCTACGCAGTTGGGTTACGATGACATGTGTCAACCAAGTCAGCGAGCCTGACCACCCGATCCCGTTAGACACCTTTTACCACAAGCATGGGTTGCTGAAGACCAATCTAACCCGGATCTTCACAGGTAACATGGGCAGTAGGCAAATGTGTAGCTTAGCCCAGTGAAAAACAAGACTCACAAAACAGGACTCATAAAATACCTAAAGGTATTTAAGAGAATTTATGGATGTCAACTTCTGTATTTGTGGAACACGATGTTACAGAGTATATTCTTATCCTTCATCGGGTGAATGGAGAGACTAGAAACTAGGAAACAGAAAGCTAAAGACGTACAGCGATAAACAAACAGTGATAAGAACAGTGATAAGATAACAAGGGAAGCCAGTACTTCATTAGCGCTAAATTGGTAGGGTGGATGGACAAATGGAAGCCAGGGATTGTTAATCCCGGCATGAATAATGAGATAACAATGGTGGCATTTAACAAGGGAAATGCAAGCCAGGAATTAATCCAGACCTAATTAGTGATGTAGCAATAAATTAAATGATTGTTATCCTTTTTACAGACTTTTTAAGAGCGCTCATTTATTTCAACGAAAACACACTCGGTTTCTGGAGTTATTGTTGGATTATTGTTTGGACAAGTTAAAGGATTAATTACAAAAATGCCACAGAATTTGAAAGCATGTTCATTTTGTCCACCAATACAATCTCATTGTAACTGTACCGCCAATGTTTAGTTTCTGAACCTGAGAGAAAACAAATCTGTTCACTTCGCGCAGATGTTCGAGGGAAAACATGGCTAGTAGAGTTATCTCCCTGGAATGGACCTGCTGTATCTCAACATGCATTGTGACTATTTCGGGGTATTGTATGAACAGGCATGTAATAGTAGATAAAATAGATCGAAATGGCTTTAATTCTTTCAGTTAGGAAGACTTGAGATATTTGAAAATATACAACGCTGCATTAAACAGCATTTCAAGCACATCACGTCGAGACGGCTTACTATGTTAGGAGAGCCTGAAGTGATGCTGTTCTTAGACGAGTCTCCTTTGGTGAAAACAGTGAGTTATTGAGTTTATTATTACGCCGCTTTTAGTAATATTCCAGCAATGGACAGGGGTAGCAGTAATGGAGGCAGGCTGGCAGGGGTAATGGAGGCGAAGAACAAAGTGATATGCAACGAGTGGCGCTTAAAATGTTGAATAAAATATCCAAGATATTTTTATGGATTAAACTTTTTTTATTAAAATAAAAATATAAATATTAGTCCATAAAATATCTTGGACATCTACGTACAACTTGTAATTCATAAATATATCTTGGACATCTACGTACAACTTCTAAATGCCATTGAATAAAATATATTAATAAAATAAATATTAAATATGAGGTTTGATATCTGAGAGCACAACCCTGTGAGGAAATGGGTGTCTACCTTTGATGGTGGCGATATTTTGTTTTGACAACAAACAAGGGAAGTACGTTGCCAATCTTTGCTCGCTTCGCCTGCATATAGCAAGACTGGTAATTTTTCCCTCTCTTGCGCAACCCTAATTGCGCTACAGTTTGCCTGTGGACCATCTGTCAATGTTTCTCTTCAATGGCCGTCAGATAGTCTTCCTGTGCTAGTGAAATTATTAAATCATGGTGCAGAAACAACATTTTATTGCAGACTTGTATGGCATAAAATCATCTAAACAAAAAGATAGAGATTCAATAAAATTAACTAATAAACATCATTAAAGTGTCACAGGAGGTTATCACAGGAGGATCATACAAAACAAACTCAACATCGGTTATAACGAAATCAAAGGGACCGCTATATTTGTGTTCGTAATAACCATAGTTCGTCATAAGCACTTTGAATACAATTTACAGCAAGTGACTGAGAAAAAACCTCAGTTCGTTATATCCGTCAGTTCGTTATAAACGTTGTTTCCTGTATACATGCGAAGGTTCCAATCGGGCTGTTTGAGCTTTAAATCAAAATGCACAACAGCACTTATGCTATTGCCTCGAATCGGACACGGTACAGATTGTGAACAGAGTCGATTATACAGATATGTTGGGTCTTACATGTGAAGGTGAAGCGTCAAACTATTAATCTGGCACATAGGGATTCGTGTGTTTTCAAACGAAAGTAATCGCCATAAAATGTGTCATATATAATACTATGTAATATATCCGCCAGTTCGTTATAAGCATGTGAAGGTTCCGATTGGCCTCGTGATATGAGCTTTCAATCAAAATGCATAACACTACTTATGCTATTGCCTCGAATTGTACACTGTACATATTGTGAACTGAGTCGATTATACAGATATATTTGGTCTTAGAAGCGTCAAGCTATTAATCTGGCACATAGGCATTCATGTGTATTTTCAAACTAAAGTAATCGCCATAGAATGTGTGCTAGGAGTTGGTGTGCGTCTTTCCCATTGGCACAAAATTATCGTCTTGCTCAAGAATATTGAAATCCACCATTCATACTATCCACGTTATATTTCCCCGGCTGGCCTCCATGTAAATAAATACAGTATTACCTAAATTAGTAATTTTCATTGACAAGATCTTTAACGATACAGCAACAGTTTTCTAATATCAAGATAAGTGTTACTCGTCCCGTTTTCCGTTCCCACCTTTCCGTAACCGTCAAGAACATTCGTCACCACTCGCCCGTTTCCGTAACCTCCGAGAAGATCGCTATTCGGCTTGTCCCGGAATAACACGAGTGGGTCACGAATGCCGCAAGAAGTCGCCATTAAGCTTGTCCCGGAATAACACGAATTAATCACGAAGGGGCGGGGCGGGGCGGGGAGAATTGAGTGCGTATAGTTTTACGGTTTTTCGTTGCCAATAGTTGCATTTATCAATATTGCAGCAATATCACGGCTGGGGACTTTAGTAATGTGCTTCACACATTGTACCCATGTGGCGAATCGAACCAGGGTCTTCAGCGTGAGGAGCGAACACTTAAACCACTTTGCTATCCTTCAAGCCCCGTTCTGAAGCAACTAGGGGAGTTCTGGGTAAGTTGTGTCTAAAGTTGCTTCCCTTATTCGTACAAGGATACGACGAGGTGTTCGAATCCTGCACAATCCATAGGTCATCCCATCGCCGTCTCGGCCATTCTGGAAATCGTTTCACGAAATACATCAGTGGAATTATTTCTTTTTACAATCTGAATTATATATATTTACATGTCTGACATAAGAACGATATAAGAACAATTTGATTGTTTAAAGAGATAAATTAGGTTCTACCGACATGACTACACTTGGAATTACATATTTGTGTTTTCAGAGTGGGAATCATTTCCTTTTGACTTCATCGATTCATTTGGGGAAACATGAAGCGTATACAGGTGCTCGAATCGGGGCGTAATGACCATCCAAATAATAACCAACACCGTTGTAACTCCACTTAACCCCGCCATGAGGAAAAACACTGTCCCTTTCAATGATCCAACAGTTGCTGAATACACGGACGTGTAGGCAACCTGCGATATCAAGTTCATTACAGTCTCCACAACTCCTATTCCGGCAAAGACGGCGCCTTGTTCTGTTTGGGATGTCATACGGGACATACTGCCCCGGATCACGGGAATAGTTGTCGCACTCACGATGCCAACCACCGGAACCAGATACAGCATCCAACCGGATGTCGCCAGGCCTTCCAATACACATGCTAGGGCAGCGTCTACGGCACCAAGTAAAGCAATTGTTTGATCACGAAAGTGTCTCTGGAGAAATTTGATTGCGATCAAAGAACCAACATTTGACAGTCCAATTCTAAGCGCACCGAAATACCCAACCTGAACAGAATTCCAGCAAAACGGTCTGTTCAGGGCGTACAATGTTTCAATGCCTACTCGACCAACGACACTAAAAACTGCGAAAAGAAATATTAAAAGCATTATTCTGTATGCCCCTGTTTTTGTTCCCTTCTTGAAGAAATAGAATCCAAACACTTTTTTGAAATGTGTAATAGGAGACCATGGCTGCTTGGTTCTACTGTCCATTGTCTCTGGGAGGAACAGGATTATGACGGCTGCTAGGAACACCGTACAAGTCATGATGATGTTCAGATTCAGATATCCAACCAACGGTATGAAGAACCCGGTGATCAGCATCCCTGCACAGGCAGCTAGTGCCACACACACTTCCAATGCAGATGTCGCCAGGATCCGCCCACGTCCATTAGAAGTGATGTCAGCCGTGTACGCGAAACTCGCCACAAGAAAGGCGCCAAATGATCCCCCGAAGCCGTCCAGAACATACGCAATGTAAAAATATTTGTAATCCATTTCTAAAGCCATGATCACAACACAGAAAACGTATCTGAGAAAGAATCCGACGCTTGGGATGAAGAACAACATCTTTCTGCCGAGGTAGTCGGAGGTGGAGCCCAGGATGACATTGACGAAGATTGCTGGGACGTTATTGACGACGGCGAGAAGAAGGAGGAAGTTGGACGTCTCTTGTTGCACCTTCACTAAAGGGTCATCTGTCGTGGATGACGTGTTGACCTCGCAGGCAGAGCTTCCTTCATCCGACGTGGTGGTGTTATAGCCATCGAGAAGTCGTGCGTGGACATACTGGCTGATGATTGGCGATAAAGACACATTGGCTAGGGCTACAAGGAAGGAGACTACTGCACATGCTATTGCGCTCCACAGGAAAGGAACAGATCTGACCACCCGACTCTTGTGCTTTTCCGGAAGAAGAGGAGAAGTCTCCTCCCTGTCCATTTTGAATAGGACAGTGTATGTTGGCAAGCTTTAGTGCATGTACGACAGACCGATATCTGAAATATATATAAAAACAATCACATTTCATGTTATCCAACAGGTAAATTGTCTTTTTATTGTAATTGCTGGAGGAGAAATCACCTTTGTCAATATTCTCTTGAATCCTTGATTTGACATGTCTTGGAAGGAGTGAATAATTGCATTTAAGGGGCTGCGTCGTCACTGTCTGGTACGTCGTACTAGCTGAGAGAGAGGTTGGAGTGAGTGAGTGAGTTAAGTTTGACGCCGCTTTCAGCAATATTCCAGCAATGTCACGGCGGAGGACACCAGAAATGGGCTTCACATGTTGTGCCCATGTGGGGAATCGAACCTGGGTCTTTGGCGTGACGAGCGAGAGAGAGGTTGGACACTTCATTGTAGCGACATATATTGATGTGTACAGTTGCGTCCCTCGACTACAATCCTGTGGCAATTCGTTCGACTGCCAACGTAACACAAACGAATTCGTGATTTGTCAAAGCCGTGCTCTTTGGAGTTGACAATCAGCATTACTTCGGGGTGTCGTCCCTTCAGACAAGCATGGAGTATTATGGACCAACTCAGACCTCTGCACTGGGTTATGGACCAACTCCGTTCCTGAAATTGTCGTCCCTTGAGACAAGCATGCCGTGTTATGGACCAACTTCGTGCCTGACATTGTCGTCCCTTGAGACAAGCATGCCGTGTTATGGACCAACTCCGTGCCTGACATTGTCGTCCCTTGAGACAAGCATGCCGTGTTATGGACCAACTCCGTGCCTGACATTGTCGTCCCTTGAGACAAGCATGCCGTGTTTTGGACCAACTCCGTGCCTGACATTGTCGTCCCTTGAGACAAGCATGCCGTGTTTTGGACCAACTCCGTGCCTGACATTGTCGTCCCTTGAGACAAGCATGCCGTCTTATGGACCAACTCCGTGCCTGACATTGTCGTCCCTTGAGACAAGCATGCCGTCTTATGGACCAACTCCGTGCCTGACATTGTCGTCCCTTGAGACAAGCATGCCGTGTTATGGACCAACTGCGTGCCTGACATTGTCGTCCCTTGAGACAAGCATGCCGTGTTATGGACCAACTCCGTGCCTGACATTGTCGTCCCTTGAGACAAGCATGCCGTGTTATGGACCAACTCCGTGCCTGACATTGTCGTCCCTTGAGACAAGCATGCCGTGTTATGGACCAACTCCGTGCCTGACATTGTCGTCCCTTGAGACAAGCATGCCGTGTTGTGGACCAACTCCGTGCCTGACATTGTCGTCCCTTGAAACAAGCATGCCGTCTTATGGACCAACTCCGTGCCTGACATTGTCGTCCCTTGAGACAAGCATGCCGTGTTGTGGACCAACTCCGTGCCTGACATTGTCGTCCCTTGAGACAAGCGTGCAATGTTATGGACCAACTCCAGAAAGGCCCAATCGTCTTTTCAGACAAGTATGCAGTGGTATGGATCAACTTCGTGCAGGGCCCCGTTGTCTTTTCAGACAAGTAAGCATTTGTATGGATCAACTTCGTGCAGGGCCCTGTCATCTCGTGTCCCGGGCCCAAAGACTAGCATGGAATGTTATGGACCAGATTTGTGTCGAGCCCTGTTGTCTTTGGAGACAGAAGGGGAGTGGTATGGACCAAGTTAGTGTCGGGCCTTATCTTCTCTTGAAACAGGACCAGTTTCGTTCCTGCGCCTCTCGTCCTTTGAGATATAAAAACGGTATGGACCAACTACGTGCCAGGCTCTGTCGTCTTTTAAGACAAGCATGCTGTGTTTTTGAAAAACCGTTTGGACCGTTCTGGGGTTTAAACGTGTCTTACCTGCCAGCATCCAGTTTCCCGGTTTGAGCTGGAAAGGGAAAATATGAATACTGCAGGCAGCAGCTTGTGACCAATTATACATGATATGCCTCATCATATGATGATATGATAAAAACATTCTCAACGTCTATTGTAGCTGTTATTCCAAGCGAATCATATACTCAACAAAGTTAGAAACGTGACACACAAATTACTAAAAGAACCCTTTTCAGTTTCTAGTTGTGCCATACACATGACCATGACATGTTGGTTGTTGGAACATGGTCCGACGTGAAACATTTGGTGATAACTCATTAAATAAGAGTGAAGCACAACAAACACGAGCAGCGAGTCAAGTGATCACCCTGGCAACCAAACGTTCATTGGAATGCAAGTACACAGGCATTGTGAAACATCGAAATTACAAGTTAAATATAAAAACGAGAATGCCGCGACTCGCAAATCAACAACGTGAACATGCTATGGGCGGCTTCCTGCTAGACAATCCGTAGTCGTAGTTGTCGTAGAACGCGTGTGAAACCAACGGGCACCGTTTCAGGTCACCCATGGCATGGGGCGCCGCGGGAGATGCCAAAAGATGACTTACAAATCAGGTTATCATCTCTGCGACAGATTTGTGACTGCAAAGAGGAAAAGTGTAAGCACAGACCATCCGGAATCGGCTGCGCACCGGAGGCATCCTAGTTGGACGACTGTACACATGACCTATCAAGACGCAATTTCGTGTGTGTACATTTACATATACATCAACGATGGGTCCGCAGACATGCCAGATTCAACCAGATGCAGTGGAACGGGACTGTTTTCACTGACGAGTCAAGCTCCACACTACACTTTGCCGATGCCAGGGTACGACTGACTGACTGACTGAGTTTGGTTTTACGCCGCTTTTAGCAATATACCAGCAACATCACAGCGGGGGACACCAGAAATGGGCTTCACACATTGTACCCATGTGGGGATTCGAACCCGGGTCTTCGGCGTGACGTGCCAACGCTTTGACCACGAGGCCCCACCGCCCCGCCAGGGTACAAGATTGAGGAACGTCACGTTCATGTTTGTGTTCGTGACAACGCTACGCCCCATACTGCACATCTCACGTACAACTTCTTACGAAACGCTGGTGTCGATGTCATGACTTTCCCGTTCCCAAGACTTGAACCCGTCCGAACACATTTGGGCTGAGCAGGGAAGACGAGTCAAACAACAGACGAATCAACCCCAGGCCTGGCAAGAATTTGGGGAAGAACTCGTATACCAATGGCGACCACTTCCGGTTAAATTGGCCCGGAAGTGACGTTGTTTTGCCGTAACGGTCGCCCTAGTAGGTCGGTACCCTGACTTCTGTACCCACACTTCTATTTGGGTAGGGTGCCATGGAACATCTTGCATTATGTTTCAAATATATATGAATGGCAATCCACCTTTCATTGTCTATGTTGTTACCTGGGCCGTAGCAGTATGATACACATCTATTCATAATAATGCACACACTGCTTCTATCCAAGTAAACAAGTGTTGAATCAGTTTGGTCAAATATAATCGTATCTAATTCCTGATGTGAAACGCGATATCGCAAAATGTATAATCTACATACACTTTGGATGACTGCTTTAATTTCATTAGTTCATTTTTTCGCGGGTATTATCATTGATGCATTTTATCAAAACAGATGTTACTTGACTGAATACTGATTCCCTGAACAACAGCTGGTGACTGTATGCATTATAAATTGGACAATAGTATTAGCAAGAGAGTAGTTATGACTCAGGTTTACTTTGAAGGGATTATTATATATTATGGCGTGTCAGCTAAATTCATTGCGAGTGTATCGCTGAATGTAAGGCTGAATCTATTGCTGGATATATAGCTGAATGTATTGCTGAATGTAAGGCTAAATGTATGGCTGAATGCATTGCTGAATGTATTGCTGAATGTGTGGCTAAATGTATTTCTAAATGTATTGCTGAATGTGTGGCTAAATGTATGGCTAAATATATTGCTGAATGTATTGCTAAATGTATGGCTAAATGTATGGCTAAATATATTGCTAAATGTATGGCTAAATGTATATGTATTGCTAAATGTATTGCTGAATGTATTGCTAAAAGTATGGCTTAACGTATTGCTGAATGTATTGCTAAAAGTATGGCTTAATGTATTGCTGAATGTATTGCTGAATGTATGGCTAAATGTATTGTTGAATGTATGGCTGAATGCATGGCTAAATGTATGGCTGAATGTATTTCTAAATGTATTGCTGAATGCATTGCTGAATGGATGGCTGAATGTATTGCTGAATGTATGGCTAAATGTATTGCTGAATGTATGGCTGAATGTATGGCTGAATGCATTGCTGAATGTATTGCTGAATGTATTGCTGAATGTATGGCTGAATGTATGGCTGAATGTATGGCTGAATGTATTGCTGAATGTATGGCTGAATGTATGGCTAAATGTATTGCTGAATGTATTGCTGAATGTATGGCTGAATGTATGGCTGAATGTATTGCTGAATGTATGGCTGAATGTGTGGCTGAATGTATTGGCTGAATGTATGGCTGAATGTATTGCTGAATGTATGGCTGAATGTGTGGCTGAATGTATTGCTGAATGTATTGGCTGAATGTATTGCTGAATGTATTGCTGAATGTATTGCTGAATGTATGGCTGAATGTATGGCTAAATGTATGGCTGAATGTATGGCTGAATGTATTGCTGAATGTATTGCTGAATGTATGGCTGAATGTATGGCTAAATGTATTGCTGAATGTATTGCTAAATGTATGGCTGAATGTATGGCTGAATGTATGGCTGAATGTATGGCTGAATGTATGGCTGAATGTATGGCTGAATGTATTTCTAAATGTATTGCTGAATGTATTGCTGAATGTATGGCTGAATGTGTGGCTAAATGTATGGCTGAATGTATTGCTGAATGTATTGCTAAATGTAAATGTATGGCTGAATGTATGGCTGAATGTATTGCTGAATGTATGTTCTAAATGTATTGCTGAATGTATTGCTGAATGTATGGCTGAATGTATGGCTGAATGTATGGCTGAATGTATTGCTGAATGTATGGCTGAATGTATGTGGCTAAATGTATTGCTGAATGTATTGCTGAATGTATTTCTAAATGTATTGCTGAATGTATTGCTGAATGTATGGCTGAATGTATGGCTGAATGTATGGCTGAATGTATGGCTGAATGTATGGCTGAATGTATGGCTGAATGTATGGCTGAATGTGTGGCTAAATGTATTGCTGAATGTATGGCTGAATGTATTTCTAAATGTATTGCTGAATGTATTGTATTGCTGATTGCTGAATGTATGGCTGAATGTGTGGCTAAATGTATTGCTGAATGTATTGCTGAATGTATTGCTGAATGTATGGCTGAATGTATTGCTAAATGTATGGCTGAATGTATGGCTGAATGTATGTGATGTGGCTGAATGTATTTCTGAATGTATTGCTGAATGGCTAATTATTGCTGAATGTATGGCTGAATGTATGGCTGAATGTATGGCTAAATGTATGCTGAATGTATGGCTAAATGTATTGCTGAATGTATGGCTGAATGTATGGCTGAATGTATTTCTAAATGTATTGCTGAATGTATTGCTGAATGTATGGCTGAATGTATGGCTAAATGTATTGCTGAATGTATTGCTGAATGTATGGCTGAATGTATGGCTGAATGTATTGCTGAATGTATGGCTAAATGTATTGCTGAATGTATGGCTAAATGTATGTGCTAAATGTATGGCTGAATGTATGGCTGAATGTATTGCTGAATGTATGGCTGAATGTGTGGCTAAATGTATTGCTGAATGTATTTCTAAATGTATTGCTGAATGTATTGCTGAATGTATTGCTGAATGTATGGCTGAATGTATTGCTGAATGTATGGCTGAATGTATGGCTGAATGTATTGCTGAATGTATGGCTGAATGTATGGCTAAATGTATTGCTGAATGTATTTCTAAATGTATTGCTGAATGTATTGCTGAATGTATGGCTGAATGTGTGGCTGAATGTATGGCTGAATGTATGGCTGAATGTATTGCTGAATGTATTGCTGAATGTATTGCTGAATAATGTATGGCTGAATGTGCAATGCTAAATGTATTGCTAAATGTATGGCTGAATGTGTGGCTAAATGTATTGCTGAATGTATTTCTAAATGTATTGCTGAATGTATTGCTGAATGTATGGCTGAATGTGTGGCTAAATGTATGGCTGAATGTATTGCTGAATGTATTGCTAAATGTATGGCTGAATGTATGGCTGAATGTATTGCTGAATGTATTTCTAAATGTATTGCTGAATGTATTGCTGAATGTATGGCTAAATGTATGGCTGAATGTATGGCTGAATGTATTGCTGAATGTATTGCTGAATGTATGGCTGAATGTATGGCTAAATGTATTGCTAAATGTATGGCTAAATGTATTGCTGAATGTATTGCTAAAAGTATGGCTTAACGTATTGCTGAATGTATTCCTAAACGTATGGCTTAACGTATTGCTGAATGTATTGCTGAAAGTATGAATGGCTGAATGTAAATGTATTGCTGAATGTATTGCTGAATGTATTGTGAATGTATGGCTGAATGTATGGCTAAATGTATTGTTGAATATATTGCTGAATGTATGGCTGAATGTATTGCTGAATGTATGTGAATGAATGTGTGGCTGAATGTATGTCTAAATGTGTGGCTGAATGTATGGCTGAATGTGGCTGAATGTGATGAATGTATTGCTGAATGTATGGCTGAATGTATTGCTAAATGTATGGCTAAATGTATGGCTGAATGTATGGCTGAATGTATGGCTGAATGTATTGCTGAATGTAATGTATTGCTGTATGGCTGAATGTATGTGAATGTGGCTGAATGTATGTCTAAATGTGATGGCTGAATGTATGGCTGAATGTATTGCTCAATGTATGACTGAATGTGGCTGAATGTATTGAATGTATTGCTGAATGTATGGCTGAATGTATTGCTGAATGTATATGTATATTGCTGAATGTGTGGCTGAATGTATGGCTAAAATGTATGGCTGAATGTATGGCTGAATGTATTGCTGAATGTATGGCTGAATGTGTGGCTAAATGTATTGCTGAATGTATTGCTGAATGTATTGCTAAATGTATTGCTGAATGTATTGCTGAATGTATGGCTGAATGTGTGGCTAAATGTATTGCTGAATGTATTGTATGAATGTATTGTCTAAATGTATTGCTGAATACATTGCTAAATGTAATGTATGCTAAATGTATTGCTGAATGTATTGCTGAATATATTTCTGAATGTATTGCTGAATGTATGGCTGAATGTATGGCTGAATGTATGGCTAAATGTATTGCTGAATGTATTGCTGAATGTATGACTGAATGTATGGCTGAATGTATGGCTGAATTGATGTATGCTGAATGTATGGCTAAATGTGTATTGCTAAATGTATTTCTATGTATGGCTAAATGTATGGCTGTGGCTGAATGTATGGCTGAATGTATGGCTGAATGTATTGCTGAATGTATGGCTGAATGTGTGGCTGAATGTATTGCTGAATGTATTTCTAAATGTACTGCTGAATGTATTGCTGAATGTATGTATTGCTGAATGTATGGCTAGATGTGTTGCTGAATGTATGGCTGAATGTATGGCTGAATGTATTGCTAAATGTATGGCTGAATGTATGGCTGAATGTATGTATGAATGTATTTCTGAATGTATTGCTGAATGTATGGCTGAATGTATGTAAATGTATTGCTGAATGTATAATGTGTGGCTGAATGTATGGCTGAATGTGTGGCTGAATGTATGTGTGGCTGAATGTATGTATTGCTGAATGTATGTGCTGAATGTATTGCTGAATGTATTGCTGAATGTATGGCTGAATGTATGGCTGAAATGTATGTGAATGTATGAATGTAAATGTATGGCTGAATGTATGGCTGAATGTATTGCTGAATGTATGTATTGCTGAATGTATGTGGCTAAATGTATGGCTGAATGTATATGTATATGCTGAATGTATTGCTGAATATATGGCTGAATGTATAAATGTATTGCTGAATGTATGGCTGAATGTGTGGCTAAATGTATGGCTGAATGTATGGCTGAATGTATTGCTGAATGTATTGCTGAATATATGGCTGAATGTATGGCTGAATGTATGGCTGAATGTATGGCTGAATGTATGGCTGAATGTATTTCTAAATGTATTGCTGAATGTATTGCTGAATGTATGGCTGAATGTATGGCTGAATGTATGGCTGAATGTATTGCTGAATGTATTGCTGAATGTATGGCTGAATGTATTGCTGAATGTATGGCTGAATGTGTGGCTAAATATAGATGAATGGATGGCTAAATGTATTGCTGAATACATTGCTAAATGTATGGCTGAATGTATGACTGAACGTATGGCTGAATGTAATGCTGAATGTATTGCTAAATGTATGCGATATGCGTCTGAATCGGATGAGGAGCTCTACATTAACGACAGCCTCGTTTGTCACGCGCCCAACACTTAAAAGTGGATTGAAACACGATAGTACTCGGATGACATTGAAACCCACCTCACTTATTGTAACTGCGTTAAATAGGACATGACCACAACAGATTACGAAACATAGAAGACTCTGAATAGAGAGAGTGAGTGAGTGAGTTAAAACGAAGCGTCGCTGTGGCATTGTTTCAGTCATACAGCGACGAGGCCATATGACGCGTGTAGACAGGTGCATAAATAATAAGAAGATATATTTAGAAACAATTGTGTCCTACTTATAGCAGCATAGCAATATCAGAGACGGACACAGCTTCTTTTTTTTGGGGGGGGGGCAGTTAATTTTCACGAGAATTTCACCCCCACCCCCCTCTGGATCCGCCTATGGATATCATACCTGCAAAGACGTGTACACAAATCTACAAAAAATATATTCAGCATAGGAATATCAATACCTGCAAAGACGTTTACACAAATGTACAAGTATGACGTTTGTCATACATATTCCAGCATAGCAATACTAATACCTGCAAAGACGTTTACACAATGTACAAGTATGACGTTTGTCATACATATTCCAGCATAGCAATATTAATACCTGCGAAGACATTCACACAAACGTACTTGTACGAAAACTTGACTATTCATTCTTAAACAGACGAAAACAATGAAAGTTTGAAAGCACTACCTGTGGATTAGGTAAGACAGATTGAGACATGACATATCTTACCTCGAGAAGGTAACTTGAACCACACGTAAAGGACATGTAATGCACCCCGCCGCTATAACGATGACTCAGGTAATTCGGTGCAAGTGCATGTTCTGACCTAGGAAAGATAATGGAAGGCATAGTTGCACCTCTGTGCTGTATTTGTCCCTTCACACAGAAATCTAGACTGCATATTTGTCATGTGTCCATTGTTTGCAGTGTCCCTGTACATGTGATTCCAAATGAGTTATTGTAGCTGCTTGTATTAGTCCCCACTCATGCCTGTGTGCTTGTGCTGGACGGGGCGAAGTGGTAGCCTTGCGGTTAAAGACCCGGGTTCGATTCCTCACATGGGTACAATGTGTGAAACCCATTTCCGGTGTCCCCCGCTGTGATATCGCTGAAATATTGCTTAAAGCGGCGTAAAACCCAACTCACTCACTCACTTGATAATCCTAGCCCACTGAGATTCCATGCCTCAGGTTAACATGGATTCCCCATTCAGCACACTGTATACTGAGCCAGAGGTTGACAGTCCTGGTTTTATCCCTTTAATTCTGAGTGCCAGGCAGGGTAACAACAAGTACCATCTTTCACGCGGCCATTAGATCCAGCTCCATAACTCTTGGTGTCCCAATAGATGCTTTAACCTGGAAATTATTTGACTGACTGACTGTCTGAGTTTGGTTTTACGCCGCTTTTAGCAATATTCCAGCAATATCACGGCGGGGACACCAGAAATGGGCTTCACTCATTGTACCCATGTGGGGATTCGAACCCGGGTCTTCGGCGTGACGAGCCAACGCTTTAACCACTAGACTACCCCACCGTCCCAGGAAATTCGTTGAAATTTAACGTCAAATAGGCGTATTGCTCTTGCCAATATTCGAGAAATATCAAGGCGGGGGACCCCAGAAATGGGCTTAACACAGTTCACCCATGTGGAGGATGAGTTCAGTTTAACGCCGCACTCAGGCGGGGCTGGACCCCGCCGCACTCCAGCACTATTGGTGTGATCGTTTGCTGAAGTGAATGAGTTTACTTGTACGCCGCACTCAGCAATATTGGTGTGATCGTTTGCTGAAGTGAATGAGTTTAGTACGCCACTCAGCAATATTGGAGATCGTTTGCTGAAGTGAATGATTTTAGTTTTACGCCGCACTCCAGCAATATTGGTGTGATCGTTTGCTGAAGTGAATGAGTTCGGTTTGACCGCACTCAGCAATATTGGTGTGATCGTTTGCTGAAGTGAATGAGTTTAGTTTTACGCCGCTGTTAGCATTATTCAACAAAATCACGGCGGGGTAACACCAGAAATGGGCTTCTAGTACCCATGTGGAGAATCGAACCCGGGTCTTCGGCGTGACGAGCGAACGCTTTAACCACTAGGCTACCCCTACGCTCCTTGATACCTATGATATGAAACCTGTACATGCAAACGGGGTTACTGACATATTCAATATGACGCACGTTTGCTTACATCTTATCTGTCAAGTAACTACGTAACTGAGTAATCCACTGTCATTCCGTTGTTGGTGAATACTGTTAAAAGGGCTGATGATGACATCTTTGAGAGACCAGGCATGACGACGTCACAAGACCATCCCAACATGTCCCCGATACCTTCGTGAGCCATTGAGCATTTACTCTCATGTTTGTTTGTTTGTTTGTTGTTTTACGCCGCACTCAGCAATATTCCAGCTATATATCGTCGGTCTGTAAATAGTCGAGTCTGGACCAGAAAATCTAGTGACCAACAACATCAGCATTCATCTATGCAATTTAGGTATGATAACATGTGTCAACCAATACAGACACCCTGAACACCCGATCCCGTTAGTCGCCTCTTACGACAGGCATGGGTTACTGAATACCAATTATAACCCGGATCCTCGCGGGTCTTGTTTTAAAGTATATTCCTCATAAAAGAGTAAGAATATACGTCGATTTGCTCAAATTACAGAACCTGTCATCCACAACATCCCCCTCTACTCTCATATTGAAATTCAAGTTGGGTATTGAATTTCGGTTTCTATAATTACTACATAAACACTGTGTTTTATTATTAGAGGTATTCTATATGTAGATGCATCACATCGGGGTCTTTACAACAGAGCTTGTAGATAAGACTATCTGAAGTTGATTAACTCAAACTTTACCACAGTGTGCTGACTACCATGCATACTCCCTTGAATACAGGAATACTTTGAAAGTTACTATTTTAAACACGTAATTACATTGGTCAACATATCACCTACCATAATGTATTGGAGTCACAGGTCGTGATAAATGTATCAATAATTACTCATGTTCAGCATTGAATATTTGTATTATTGACTGGTTGAAATAGTTACAGCAGAATGGATATGGTACATAGGAGGGGACCCATAGTGACCATACATTGGTGATAAACGTAGCAATAGTTACATATATTACACTGCCCACCGCCCTTAACAACATAATCCCGCCGGAGACATGGTTGATGACAACACTGTTGTACACCACAACGACACGGTGGTGCGACCTTCCACACTGAGGCATTCGACTTGCCCAACTGACTGAAATTGACATCCTTTCGTGCTTCCATTAATAATTCCGAAAACCGACCTGCTTAACCTACTAATATACCACAGAGTAAAACGATTATAGGTTATAAAGGGTGTATATAGTGGCCGCTTGTATACTTCCTCAACATCACAGAATTTGACCTGACGTCACACATTATGCTCTCTGGGTTTAGGTGGTCTAAAAATAGACAACTACCAGCTGACTTCAAAAGAAGTGAAATATTTGTCAAAAGTTGATAAATAATACAATGTTAGTTATATATTAAATCAATTACCTTACTTCCTGATTGGTGCTAATTACGATTCCCCCACGTCGAAGTCTATATTTCATACACAACGCCTTGTGACAGGTGAGTCTGAAGCGGCAATGACGAGACACATTTCACAGCGAGGTCCATGCAAACAATTCAAGACTCAAGTATATACCTAATGAGTGAGTGAGTGAGCTGGGTTTTATGCCGCTTTTAGAAATATTCCAGCAATATTGCGGCGGGGGACACCAGAAATGGCATATCACTAATGAATAAGAATATACTGGTGTTGTTCAAATTACAGAAGCTGACATCCACAACATTCCCTTCTACAGTCATGTTGTAATTCACTATTGATTTTCGGTTGTATAATTACTGGATAAACACTGTGTTTTAATATTAGAGGTATGCTATATGTAGATTCATCACATCGGGGTCTTAACAACCGAGCTATTTTCGCAGTTTGTAGATAAGACTATCTGAAGTCAGATTACCTCAAACTTTAAAACACAGTAGGCTGACATCCATGCATCCTCCATTGAATACAGGAATACTTTGAAAGTTACTATTTTAAACACGTAATCACAATGTCAACAGGTCAGCTATCATAATGTATTGGAGTCACAGGTAGTGATAAATGTATCAATAATTACTCATGTTCAGCAATAATTACTTGTATTATTGACTGGTTAAAATAATTACAGCAGAATGCATAGTGTAAATAGGAGGGGACCCAAAGTGACCATTGGTGTACCATGGGTGATATCATACCTCTACATTAATTTTAAACGCATAATTACATGGGTGAACAGGTCACCTATCTTGACATATTACGAAAAGTAGTCACAGGTTGTGATAAACATAGCAATAATTACTCGTGTTCACCATTAATTACTTTATTGATTGGTTGAAATAATTACAGCAGAATACATAGTGTAAATAGGAAGGGGCCATAGTGACCTTCCATTGACAAAGGTCAACTATGTATTTCCACAGTAACTTGTTACATATTGCACTGCTTGGAAATCAACAGGATTTCTCTCGATGTAGGGGTGACAGGTTGTAGTAGAGTGGCCAAAATACATAGCTAACTTTATTAAATGATGTTAGTTGGTTTGAAGATGCGCGTATGTACCAGCGTGTCTGAAATATATCTCCACAATAGTAATGCATATTTAGGGCAGTTATCTCTTCCACCATGACGTTTGACCTGGTTAATTGTTCGTTAGGCCAATACTATTCGTGTGAACCCAACTGACAATCCGGGGCGTTGGGTATCCTTGTGTTAAAGCTTCGCTCTCCTCGGCGCAGACCCGGGTTCGATTCCCCACATGAATACAATGTGTGTAGCCAATTTCTGTGTCCCCCGCCGTGATATTGCTGGGATGTTGTTAAATCGGAGTAAAACTAAACTCATTCACTCCTGATGGTGTACTGATGGCCTGCTGTCACAACCACTGGGAACAGCAACACCCTATTACCAACGTAGCTGAACACGTGTCCGCTCTACGACATGAGACTGTTCATCTTTTGTAACACACTGGTTTGTCATGAACAGTTTTTTAAATAATGTATATCATTGTTTTTATTTTGTACTTAATTGGGCGTGTTCTGAAAGAAATGTCATTACCTTTGATAATCTGTTGTGACCAAGTGATAGTGCCGTGGAGCAGCTTCTGCCAACAGAAATTTCCAGTGTCGATTGTGTGCATTTATAATCGGCAACTCGTTCAAATGCAACAATAGGCTACAGATAACTGTTTCTACACTTCAAACTTGTATTTGTTTATTTTCTGCTTTCATAAGATTAGTCCAGAGTTTTCTTCTTGTCAAAACTTCTTTGTCTACACAAGATTTTTTCGCCGCTCATAACACCGATCTGGGGAGGTGGGGTTAGCCTAGTGGTTAAAGCGTTCGCACGTCACGCCGAAGACCCAGGTTCGATTCCCCACAGTCCTATCTAGTTCCTCTGTTAACTCATTCCCACATGGGTACAATGTATGAAGCCCATTTCCGGTGTCCCCCGCCGTGATATTGCTGGAATATTGCTGAAAGCGGCGTAAAACTAAACTCACTCACTCATAACGCCGATCTAAGGGTATGATCGGCTGAGTGGGTATGATTGCCGCAAGGGCGAAAGATCTTGTGTAGATAAAGGAGTTTTGACAAGGAGAAAATCTGGACTCGTCTTTTATATATGTATTGTCAGTACGTTACTATAGACTTATAAATATATAGGTACAAATGTTGAAAAGTCAAGTGAGTGTGTATGACATTTCGCCACTTTTAGCATTATTCCAGTAATGTCCCTTGACACCTGACATGTGTGGAATCGAACCCGGGAATTCGGAATGACGAGTGTACGTTTTAATCACGAAGCTGCCCCACCGCCCTGAACTACATAACACCACCGGAGACATGGTCGATGACAACACTGTTGTATGCCACAGCGACACGGTGGTGCGACCTCTCACACTGAGTCATTCGACTCGCCCAACTGACTGAAATTGACAACTCTTTCATTCATCCATTAATAATTGTTAAAACCGACCTATTCAACCAAGAAATATATCACGGAGTGCAACAATGATAGGTCATGAAGGGCGTATATATTGGCCGCTTGTATACTTCCTCATCATCACAGGAACTTACCTCACGTCACACACATGTGCTCTTTGGGTGTACGTGATCTAAAAATAGACAACTATCAGCTGACTTCAAAAGAAATGAAATAATTGTAAAAAGTAAGTAATTATACGATGTTGGTTAAATATTGAATCACTTGCCTTACTTCCAGGTTGGTGCTAATCACGATTTCCCCACGTCGAAGGCTATACTTGATATACAACGACCGTGTGAAGCATTGTGACAGTTGAGCCTGAGGCGGCAATGACGAGACACATTTCATAGCGAGGTCCATGCAAACAATTTAATATTGAACGGCTTCGCAGCCTGGTGTGCAGCCGAGGACTTTGTGATTTGAATGGGAACTTCCGAGTAAATCCACTTTTGTCAAATGCTAAATACATTTAGCACTAGCGCACTTCTTCCGGACAGTGTGCATGGCTTGTTGAAGTTTAAATATTGGTGTAACAAAAGTAGTAACTGTACTACTGATCTATTATCCAGATGTGACGAGGCAAACATCAAGGATACGAATGGTGCTTATGGTCGCATCAGCTGAACATGTATATCAGCGCTAGCTGGAAAACATATTCATATAAATGTTTTATATATGTAACTTTTGCTTAATATTTCTGCTATATGAGGTAGGTCTGTATACAATTTATATTCTGTTTTGCCGATGAACTTCTAAACACAGAGAGAGAGAGAGGGGAGAGAGAGAGACAGAGAGAGAGACAGACAGAGAGACAGAGAGAGAGAGAGAGAGAGAGAGAGAGAGAGAGAGAGAGAGACTTCAGTCAAGGAGATGTATCAGTATTTATTGTGAGGTCAAATGTGTCATACATAAACGTTCGAACAACAATCTTATACACACATTGCTTCTTGGTGGGGGATATAGAATTTCAAATGATAAAGCTTGAATACACATTGACATCACAATGTGTCTTCTTTCAACACAACATTCAGGTACAAGTCATGCAAATATTTGGTCAGTAAATAGAGAAGATTAATATTATCATTATTGTGTCAAACATTGTAAATCGGTAAGTAGTTACAGTATAATATTCTGCAAAATATACAATGCCCGGTTAAGTTACACTAAGTCAGTACATGCATGTAACTAAACAATTACATCAGAGGGTGTATTAACCAAATAACCAAGTGTGTTTCAGTGGGAACGGGCGGTGGGGTAGCATAGTGGCTAAAGTGTTTGCTCGACACGCTGAAGGCCCGGGTTCGATTCCTCAAATGTGTACAATGTATGAAGCCCATTTCTGGTGTCCCCCGCCACGATATTGCTGGAATATTGCTAAAAGCGGCGTAAAACTAAACTCACTCAGTCACTCCAGCGGGACAGGTTGCTGTTGACTGTCTTCATTATTTATCATGTATTTTAATGTTCCCGATTCACTAAAAATTATTTCTATCAGCATTAGATATGTATGCATTCTTTGATGTGTTTACCGTTCTATATTTTAATGTTTTGATATCGAGAGGACGGGACACGTTGATATATGGTTTTGAAAAGAGGGAGACTTTGTGTTTGATTATAAAGTCGTTTACGTCATACCAAACACGTACTAACTAGTCTATTGCAGCCAATACTGGTCAGATCCAACATACGTTCATTAGAGCAGAGAAAAGGGGTGGGGGTGGGGTGTGCCGAATGGATATTGCGATAGATTTTGAGAGTGAGTGAGTGAGTTAAGATTTGAACTGTTTATAGTTATTGTGTGATATGTGGTGTTATAAGTTATTCTGCAGTGTTGGTTGGTGTTTAGGACGTTCCCTGCAATGTGGGGTGTTTAGAGGTACTTTGCGTTGGTATTTAGAAGAAGAAGATGAAAATTGTTTTATTTCCGTGTCACACACTGTAAAATAATGACAATAGAAATACACAAATATGATATACAGTGCCCGGCCAATATGGCCTATGAGACACGCAGGACGCCACATACATATAAAAAATGAGAAATATCACAGATCATACATATTCATTATTTGAAAGTTATCAAGTTATCAAGTGCAAGATCTAAAGTTGGGGGAGAACATCCCGATACTGAGCAGAAATTAAATATTAATTAGGTTGGTAGAGACACAGTTGTCTACGCTGATACATGTGATATAGTAGCGCGGCTAGGGGTTTAACAAACTTATCATTCCGCATACAGACCACATGTACAGTCTGGTCGACAGCGGTCATCTGTATGAAGTTCGGAGTTGATTGGGAAGCTAAGTTCCATAAATAATAGCGTAAATCTGTATAGAGAGAACACTCAGCAAAAAGTGTATTTCATCCTCAACGACATTGCTATTACAAAATTTACAAAGTCGTTCAATAAGCAGTGTTTTGGGGCGGATAAATCTCCCTTGTTCTATTTCTAATGGCAGTGAGCCGCAACGAAACTTACTTAATATACTGCGCTGACCTTTGTTTATCAATAAACTGACATAGGGTTCTACTGATAAAGAATTTTTAAATAGTCTGTATGTACGTAATTTATTACCATTTACCTGACCCGTATCGTTCCAGAGCCCATACAACCAATCAGAATGGTCTGAGGATAACAGACATATTTTAGACAAGTTAAACTCTTCAGTAGTATTATCATTCAGATCATAAACTGGTAAATGTAAACTGAGAAAGTAGCTAGTTGAAAACAGTATTATTCAACGGTCTACGGAATTTTACTGACCATCTGCAAATAGTACTCGGTATTCGAGATTGATCTGCAGCGTGTAACTTGCGCCAGAAACGGAGAATTTCAATTTTTTGTTTTGTAAGTGATGATGTCCAGCCCATTTCACCGCGGACAGACAAATTTGAAGTCTTTCTACCGACTGCCAAGAAAAATCTACTCGCTCGGTTTTGGACAGCATTTATACAGCTAAATTCCTTAGTTCCCTAAATTGCCTATCCATACGATAAGATAGGCTGGACCAAGTTATTGTAAAAAGTTGTAAATATGTTGTAAGCTAAACCACCAGCTGCTTTGAATTTACAAATTATAACACGAGGTGTCCTATTTGCAGATTTAGCTAATTCTTTAAATGTAAAATTCAAATCAAGATGATCCTGTAACCAAACACCTAGGTAATTATAAGCGTCAGTACTTTCAAGCTGATCAGACCCAACTGTAAAAACAAAATCGGACATTTTAATGGTCCTGGGTCGATAATGCACAACTGAAAGTTGACAAGTAAGCGCCATCGTGCACACCAGTTTGCTACACAATCTAACAGAGCGCTCGTCAGGTGCTATGAGGGCAACATCGCCAGCATACATTAGGATACTCAGCATGTCAGTGTCCAGATGGATACCGCAGTGTAAGTTATTAATTTCAATAGCAAAATCATTTATGAAAACAGAGAACAACGTTGGTGATATAACACATCCTTGACGGACACCTGAGTATATTGGATATCGTTCTGTGTGGTGATTATTCACTCGAACACATGACCAAGTATCCTCATACATTGCCTGGACTGCTTGAAGAAAATTACCATTAACACCAAAGTTTATACCATAAGCATTTACCATTAATTTTATCGAAAGCTTTCATGGCATCAATATAACACACAACTGTGGATTGTTTTGATATCTTCCTATTATTTATAACTGAAAATAAACTGTAAATGTGCTCTTGTG